AACTTCCAGGGGTATTGATATCAATTCCTTTTCCACAGTCCATCAGTCGTTGTGGGTTTGAGCTTAGAAAAGCTCTACACATGTCTATAAACAAAACGTCAGAAGACTTTGCAGGATTACGTTGAAAAGTTATATATGCAATACCTGTAACAGTCTTCATTTCTATTTCCTTGTACGAAGCAAAAAAGGAAGTATTGTAATCGCGAAAATTTTCGGGTATCATATTTCAACGAAAATATCGATTTTGACCGTTATCCAATGCAATTTAATAATGTTTTTGCGTGACATCCGCAAGTAAGGACAGAATAAATGACTCTTTTCCCCGAAAAAAATATAAAACTGATTTAAAATAAATTCTGAAGAAAATTTTTCGTGGCGTCTGTACGTACATATCTCGCATAACTCAAAAACGAGTAACCTCAGAACGTTGAAATTTTGTATGTAGGACTGCTATAACATGCAGATGTGCACTTCGTATTTTGGTTGCAATCGGCCGCACCAAAAGTATATAAATATATGTATATATATTTTGTTTTAATGACTGCTGTACATCGGAGTTGCATTTACATTTTTTTACACCTTAATTTGTCATTTTGTGCGGACGCGTCGGGAAATTGGAACAGAGAATTGAGACTCTAAAAAAATTTTTAGGACAATTCATCTAATTATAAAAAATTTTCATAACGCAAAAGTTTCAATTGTCTGTTTCGGCGAAACGCGTAATGGAGAGAGCTTGGTTCGACGTCTAACTAGAAATTTCCCTTGAAAAGCCAGGTTGGAAGTCGAATTGAGCTAATTTACCATTTACCGCTTTATAATTTTTATAATTTTATGCTTTTCATATGTTTTTATTTGTTTTATTGGTTTTAACTTGTTCCATCGATTGGCTTTTTTATATGTGTTAACTTTTCACTTATCACATCGATAGGTTTTTACTGTATTTTTTGCCATTTACCTGTTTCCAACGATTAATATTTTACTGTGTTTTATATTCTACATTTCATTTCGCGTGTAGCCTAATTTTTCACCCTTCATTGTCATTGTTTTTTTTTTTTTTTTTTTTTTTTTTTGTTATGTGTTAACTTTTCACTTATCACATCGATAGGTTTTTACTGTATTTTTTGCCATTTACCTGTTTCCAACGATTAATATTTTACTGTGTTTTATATTCTACATTTTATTTCGCGTGTAGCCTAATTTTTCACCCTTCATTGTCATTGTTTTTTTTTTTTTTTTAAATACTGTGTTGAACTATTTCTTGGAGCCACAGCTCCTGGTAACTTTTTGGCGAGCTCACTACGATTTATCTTCTTTCCATTTCCTTAATTTTGCAGCATATTGCGCAAAAAATTTTTAAGACCAAATAGGTCTTTCTGCACAGTACGTACTACCTAGCTTTTTAATTATATATATATATATATATATCCACTCTGTTACTTGGCTCGGTGAGCTCAGTTTCTTTATTGTTATATGTTTGTAAATTGTGCATTTTTTGCTTTAAAAATGATTGAATTATGTTGTTCTTATCTTTTGGTTAAGGTTTTTATGCCTTTAGTAAAATCTGCATGCAATATTTGTGAAGTTATCATCAATTTAAAAGTTGTTTAAGTGCAGCTAAGCCTAAGGAATTTTGCGATGGAGGACATGTTTGTTTACATTTCAAACTTGAATTTGTTACCAATCTAGAGAAACTAAGCTTCGCAACAACAAAGATAACGCCTTCTTTTATTATTTCGAATTAAATCATGCTTAATCCATTCTGGAATTTATTCGAAGAAATAAGTGTTTCAGATTTACTTCGTAATTTTTAATATAGATATTTTGAGTTTTTATGTATTTTTGCCTTGTCGGGAAGTGAGAACTGAATTAATTGAATGAGAAATACTCAATTGTCTGTGAAAAATTGTTTCTTTTTTGTTTTGTTTGCTTCATTTCTTTTATACACCGTTCTAGATTTATTATAGTATTTGAATAGAACATGTGGCAACGATTAGATAATTCTTCAAATGATATAAATTTATATGCATTCTGAGTTATAATATGGACGAAATATAACGCTGTTAAGTGAACCTAGCGCCAGAGTGTTGCTATGGTAAACAAATATAGTGAATTTTAAAAAGTGCATTTATTCTATTGTGGTTTATTTTCTATCGACGATGTAGATTTAATTCAATCCAATACGTTTAAATGAAATGCAAGAAAAAGTGCGTATAATTTAATATTCTGTGCAAGGAAGTCATGTGGTGTACACATCAGATTTTTTCAAGTAATATTCTGGAATTTTCAAAGTATAACTTATAGCTTTGTCTTCATGAAATTTCACTCTTTGAAAATCACTGGGACAAAGAAATTAAATTTCTTTTGTAAATACCGAACATTAAAATATTTTCTTGATAGTATATTAAGATGATTTAATTTTTTTCCTACTCTTCTTCTTATTTTTAGTTTCATATTGTAAGAGAATTCTGCGAAAGTCATATATTCCTTACTGAAAGGATTCTCGCAGTGACAGAACCAGGCTTGTAAAATTTTTTTCCTTCGTTTTCGATGATAAAAAGACCGTTTTTCTTGCAGTCATTTAGATAAACCCGTGCTTAATCAAGGGTCACAATGTACGTCCATATATCTCCCACTAAATAGTTTTCACGTAGGATTCTACAAATTGCTCTCTGCTTTTAGCCACATGCCTCGGCAAAAGCTGGTGAACATTATACTTTTTAGCCTTTTCTTTTTAAGTTGTAAATCTTCGTTTATTATTTTACTTATTGTTGCTACAGTTGTAAAAGATTGCAACTGCTTTCTGCGACGTTCTATTTTCTCTTATCACTAACGATTAAACATTAGAAACAGTACGTACCTTTTTCAGATATACGTTTGGAGTCTTCCTGCCATGTAGAAGTAATGACTGGCAGTTTTTCCTTTTCTGATTATTTTGACCTTACAAACTTTAATACATGCCTGTCACAGCCTTCTCTGAAACATAGAATATGAATATTTCTCTTGGAAAAGCGCCAAAACAAGTCCTTTAATCCCCAGCCTGTTTCCACGCGATATTCTGAAAGAAGAATAAATTTATAACCTCAAAACAACCTCAAAAATTGAAAACAACCTCAAAAATTTTGCAATTCGGTTGTATTTGTATTTGTAGCTAAAAGTAAATTCAATGCTTTCGAGAGCGTTGAAAAGCAAATTGCATAGAGGAAACTCAATATCGAACTTCAAACGAGTAAGCTTATTCCATCAGTAAAGAATGCTGGAGAGAACCAAATGGTCTGGGGACTGTATGAAATCTGGATCTGATTGCAGAGTCAGAAATATACATTTTATTGATGTAAAAATAAAGAAATTTATGAATTTAAATATTTTTTAACGAAATTATAGACTTCACCAGGACGATGATCCCAAGCTCATAAATTTTTAATTTTGTATAACATTCCAAGTTCAATCAAAACGCTAGAGCAGAGTCCAGACTTATTGAGTATATTTTGAATTATTAGCAAGACATTAATAAATTCAAAATTTCCAATAGAAATGAACTTAGAGGAAAATTCCCCATATAATGGGAAAAAATAGAAGCAAATGTCTGTCAAAATCTTTTGAAATCCATGCTTAGAAAATTCAGTGAAGTAATAAAAAAGGGAAAAGAGACTTACGTATTATTAAAAAGGCTTTTTAGAGGGGTTTTTTTTTTTTAAGGAAACTTGCCGCTTTTAGAGTTTTTTAATATTAAGTTTTAAACTTTAAGACAATCCAAAGAATCGCATAAAAATAATGCGATCGCATCCAAATAATGCAATCTGTGTAATGAAATAAGACAACCTTTTTGATTATGAAAAATTTAGTCGTACGACACCTTTTATTAAAAGTATTCTAATTTCATATTTCTTTTACGAGCCTTCTGCGAAAAAATTTCCATCTAGTAAATTATTTCTTATCCGCGAAGTAATGACCGACTGAAGTTTTTCCCATTTCCGATAAATAGCACTGCTTATTTTGCACTTATATATTTTAATATCATGCATTTCACAACAATTTTTTAATTTTAGAATAGGAATATTTCTCTTTGGAAAGCGCAAAATAGTTCTTCAATTCACAGCTTGTTTACATGCGACATTTTGAAAGATAAGTGAATTTAAAAGTAGCTAATGATATTTCTCATTTCAAACAATAAGCTATTGCCAGAAAGTTTTATTCCATAATGTTTGCTTTAAAAAAAAAAAAAAAAAAAAAAAAATTTTTTCGAAATCGTTTTAAAAGTTTGTAAACACTTATTGTGTATACCGAAAAAAGAATAACATACCACAAATAATATAAATATAACAGTTAACAAGAACTTTTAGGAAAGGAAATAAGTTGATGTTTTTCCATTCTCTATACTTAATTGTTAAACAATAAGATGCTTTTATGTGCTAAAAAATGAAACGTTTTAAAGCCTTATCTTTTATTCCATTCTTTTCCAGAGATTAATTAAATATTCTATTAAAGATATAATAAAATGAACTCTAATATTCAGTACAATTGAATTCTATTGTACCTATAATCTAGAATCGTTCGAGTAGAACAATTGATAAAATTAGTGTTATCGAAAAAGCTGTTATTTTGGTTTTTTATTCAAATTATTAAATAATTTTATAAAATTACATTATCAGGATTCATTAAAATCATTAAATATTTCTTCTTTTTTATCATATTTATTTTAGGCCACTGTGAGCAGGCGATTAGTTATTTAAAAAGTTTGCTCTTCACTTTTTTGTTGAGTGTTTTAATCGAGAGAGCTCAAAAAATTTTTCACATAATAGTCTATAATTTCTAGTTTCGCCATTGCGGCGGTTATAAGAAGTGAAACTCCATAACCTGCACTAGAAAAAATTAAATAGTTATATCGTCGCATTTATGAATTGAATCTAAATTTCATATTTAATTCTTTTGATGAACCTTTATATGTCTGCTTTCATTTCTTTCTTTTTTTTTTTTTTTTTTTTTATGTGTGCATTTTTAAGATTGCTGATGATAATGGAAATTTTTTCCATTTACTGAAGAACGAAAAAGGTCATACGGAATCTTGGATGAGTTATATTCAATGTGCTAGACATTTGCAAGAACAAAATTTAGAAACTACACAGATAGATGGCGACATTTACTATCGGGTAATAAGAGTAAGTAGTGGCAGTAACGCCATCTTTTCTTATTTGAACTATAAGCTCTGATTGAGTTTTTGGAGTAAAAATGCGTATGTTTCGTTATATTTTATTTTTACACATTATTTTTGGAATGAGAATTTTTTAATTCTTACTTCATATGACACAAAAAGTAGTTTTGCTAACAACTAAATGTATTAAGACACAATAACACGCCGAATAAATACTAATTCAGAAGTCAAACAACAAGTCATTTTGCGGTTTTGCAGCTGTAGATGGTGGTTCGGTAAAACCATCGAAACTAGTCCTGTGAAAATTTGGTAAATATAACGCTGATTTTTGTTGTTTGACTTCTGAACTAAATGTATTTTAATTTGAATAATCAATAACGTCAACCAGTGGCGTTTCAGGAGGGGGTATGGAGAGCCATTTGCACTCCTTAAAATTTTTTCTTTGATCAAAAATTGATGAAAATTAAAGGTGGCATTACTTTAATAATTTTCTTATTGAAGTAGGTCTTTAAGATTGCCTTATCCTCGAGTTTCTGGCTTATCAGATAAGATCATATTCTTTATTATTAAACACTACTCAAGATATATCGAAGACGAATCAAATGAATGGCATTTTAAGAGGTATTAATGTTATTCCAAGAGATGATCATTCAGAACCTATAAATTGTATAATTACACTCTAGACATATGACCGCTCGAAAATCCTCTCGAAAGGTTAGTGGTAGGGGATGAGAGATGGGAGACCTTCGGACTCTCAGAGTCCTCTCAGAGTGGTCTCCATCAAAATTTGGGGCGGAAGAGCAAAGTCGTGATGTCACCTGTATAGTATCAACACCTTCTTAAACAAGAAACTGTTTAAGAAGGTGTTGGATATTCTCCCTCGGAATTCCAAACTGCGGCGGAAGTTCATCAGTTAGCTTGGTACATCAATGCCTCAATTACCTGTGTTATTACAGAGATGTTGGCCTAGCTTCTGCACTTGTCTTTTTAATGAATATTAATTTAAATACGAGAGGGCGTATGACGGCAGCAAATACATTAATCTCTATGCATAAAGTTGCATCTCATGTTGCATAATATACTGAATGTAGAGTAATTTATACTTTTTTAACTTGGGAAAATAAAACATAGAATTATCTTATTAATTTCTAATAGCATACTAGAAAGTTTACTTTGACTTCTAATACTTTCCCACCAGAAAACGTAAAAAATACTGAATACCGTAAGCTCATATCAAGAAGAAAAAAGTTGTACTTTCAAATTATTAAAGCATAATAGACACTAATTACTATAAACTATTGCCTCGCCGATTTGCGAGCTACACGTTATCAATTACTATTCCTCACATTTGTGTCGCCCGTCATAAAACTATAACTGCATTTAATATATATTACAAATTAAAATTGCAAAGAATATGTACTAATTCATATTTTCACAGAAGAGAGGCACTTAGCAAACCGATATGGTAATAAAAACTCAAATTTTAGTAATAAAAATAAAAGATAAAATAAAAGTAGTATGTAATTAATAATGTAAATGTAATTCATCATTCATTTATTTGAAGAAACGATAATTAAAGCTCAACCTTTTGTTCTGTAATAGCAATTTTTAGCATGCTTTCAAACTGAAATATAAGGTTCTGTATGGGCTGAAGTGACAAAAATTAATGCTATGTTGTAAGCTAAATAAAAGTTTGAAATTTCTGAGAATTATAGCTTTTCAAATTCCCTTGAATTTTCTTTAATATTTTTATCTGAACGTTTAATTTCTATATATTCTTAAAGTATTTATTTCAAAAAAGAATTATGTAGCGAAAAAATCATAAAATATATTTAGATGTGCATTGCTTATAACTTGCATTCGAAATACAAACATCAGGCTATTAGGGCCCCACTGTAGAGTCATTAGGTATCTGGGACGGTATTCCAGAGGTCCGCGGTTCGATTCCCGGCGAAGGCGTTGTTAATTTTTCATTAGGCTATTAGTTCGAGAGATGTAATACAGATATATCACTAATGTAAAAAGCGATTAATTCTTTACATTACTAAGTGTTAAAAACATTTAATTAATTTTAGTTTAAAATTTAATTAATTTTAGTTTAAAAATTAAAAGGATTATTTTTTCAAAGGTTTGAATTTGTGTTATAAGGTATTTTTTCCCTCATTTCCACATGCCTTCGTGGTGTAATTGGAAGCCTTCTCGACGCATATTCCAGAGGTCCATCCCGGAGAGGACACTGCACATTTCACGTCTCCTGCTTCAAAAAACACTTAATGGCTATACAAGTGGCGCCCAAACTAAAAGATAGTGCACGATAATTCGACACCACCAGTATTTGGCGTTTGGGTCCCCTAATTCCAAGTCTCCCTTTAAAAGGAGGCCCAACAGCGGCCGAGCGGTAAAGTAGCTGAACACTGGTAGTTCGGTCCGAGGTTCGAATCCCGCGAACGGGCTGGCTGCATGGGCGTTTTCGTGGTTTTCCCCATGTGTAACGTGTATATGAGCCACTTTTCCTTAGAAAGTCCTCCACGAAGGCATCCCTCCCCTTAGGCAGGTAGCCCTAGTGTGCTTTGTCGTAATCTCAATAAACCAAACCAAAAACAAACCCTTTAAAAGGGAGTATATAAGGCAGTTCCTCTCTCCTTTCCGCATGTCTTGGTGTAATTGGAAGAATACTTTACGCATATTCGAAAGGTTCAGGTTTTGAGTCCTGGCGAGGGCATTGCACATTTTTCACAACACCTGCTTCAATAAAAACCTAATGGCTCTACAGTGTCAGGTATTGCATGAGGTAAAAAATTAACCTGTTTTGAAATTTCATTTCAACAAATGGACACCCTTCCCTCAAATACAGGGCTAGCTATGTTCCTGTGGTTTGGCTGCCTGCAGTCAGTGAGCAGTCTCTCGGATCATAAACTTAACTTGGAGTATCAGACAAGTCAAATTCCCTTTTTCTCTCCTTTGTTTCATTTAACTTAGCAAATTCTTTAATTTTTAGTTATGTTTAATTTTTAGTTAAGTGTGAGAATGATGCACGCCGTCCGGAGTAAATAAAAAAATCCAATGCAATCAAAAAATATAACTGCCGGTGAAAATTTGTCATTTGAAACCAGAAATAGAATTCACTATCTCTTTATTATAAGTTAGTGAAATATTTGTAAACTTTTTATTTTAATCTTTACTTTATAACTTTTTCTTTCCGTATTCCTCATCAGAATGCAAATTAAGTTGTAAAGTATGTAAGCAGACGTTTTTGATCCAGAGAGAGAGAAAGTGACCCTGGCATTCGCGCTGCGAAGACCTGAGAAAGAAAGCTTAAGCACCACAACCCAGTTTTTCAGGCTGAACTGATTGCATTAAAAGCCGCACTTCTCTACGCACTGGAAAATAACTATTCCAGTATATATTCAGACTCAGCCTCTAGCCTCCAGGCAATCCGAGGCACATGTAGTAAAAATCCACTCGTCAGAGCCATAAAAAACTCTTACTAAGAACACTAAATACTATAGACCTGAACTCCAGTGTGTACCTGCCCACTCTGGAATACTGGGCAATGAAATTGCAGATGCAATAGCCAAAAGAGCAGCAACTGATCCCCACGTTCGCACACTTGACGTGCCTCTCCCGGGTTCGTTCTTAAAAGCTGAGCTCGAGAGAATTACTCAAACGTTGGCAACATCTGTGGGAGACAGAGACCACCGGCAGAAGAGTTTGCAGATTTTTTCCAAAAGTCTGCCGGCTTCTAAAATCTGGCTCGTCTCACTTCACTCAGTATCTAACAGGACATGGTCCGTTCATGACTTACCTGCATCGCTTCAGACGACGCGAAAGCGAGCATTGCTCATGCGGGATGGTAGGAGATCCGGACCACTATCTGTTCGCTTGCAGAGAGACCGCCAAATATCATCTTAGGCAACCAGTAGCAAACCCCATCCATGCATGGGCAGAAGCTACTTCAAAAATTCGCAATGCATTGAAACGCATATGTGATTGCATAAACATTGCACGCAAAATCTCAGACAGGCTGGAGTAATTCTCAGCCACCATCCTCGTCACCAGCACAGCCCCTGTATGCTCTGTACCTGTAGTGAACTAATTTTATCTTAAGTTAGCTTATTCGGCTTTTCTTATTCCCTGTATATATTTATCTCCTTGAACTGTAGAACCTTGAACTATGTATTTTGCCTTATTTTATGTATTGTTTCCACTGTTTTGCCTTTTTTTTTTTTTTTTAATTTTATGTATTTTTTTACTTTATAGTATTTTACTTCTTATTACTTTTAGTATTTGTAACCACCTATCCATAACTCTGTAAATATGTTACTGAAATTGTTCTTCTCACCGGCAATGCACCCTTCTTCCATCATGCACTATCGTCTTCGTCCAGCATTTGTTTGCACTGCCCCCAGCAGTCGTCTTGAGCACAATATGTATTTATAAATGTGTTATTTTGTTCAAATTATTTCCGTCAGCGGGGCTACCTGGCCGATATGCTAACTACCCAGTGGACCGGCTGTCTCGCTGTCGGTGGAAAGAAAGAAAGAAAGTTGGCACTGAGCATTTTAATGTTTTTGCAACTGTCCTTTGACATGGCGGATTTTCTTTTAACATTAAAGATCTTACCTTCGTTTCGAAACAATCCGTTTTTTCTTGATTATGTATTTGCAATAATTTGTATACTTGAAGCCGAACTTTGCCATGGCTTTCACAGAATTGTTTAACAACTAGATACGAATAATTTTCACTGGTATATATTCCTAGATAAGCAGATTCATATTTTTCCCTGAAGAAAAACTTAGAGTTTAAAGTTTAGGGGAACTGTGCGGATCGAGTCATGCTTATAACTTTACAGCTCCATCTATATATTTTCATGGAAAGGATTCTTTTTTATGAACTGCTTTTATAATTTTCTTCTGCTTATATTTCCAGCAAATTCAGTTTTCGTTACGCTAGTTTTTTCACAATTAATCAGCCAACTAATTTTCGTGATAAAATTTTATAATGTGGCTTTTCGCGTATTAATGATTCTCTTACGACGTTCAAGTTTCAAAATAATAATAATAATAATAACAAATAAACATTCTATTTTATTTAGTTTATTTCATGACCTAGTAAAATCCAGCAAAACCGCTAGTATAATTCGGTTTTTCCTCGCCACCTCTAACTTTTAAATAAATGTATATTATTCTATACATCGAAAAACTATTTGTACTATTTAACAAATCCAGTCTCTATAAATAATAAAAAAATGCTGTTAGATCCAATTTGAAATTTTGACATTAAAATGTTTAAATAGGCGAGAAATATTACTTTCTATAAATTGATAGGAATCTTCTACTTGAACAATTCCTGTCATTTTATAAAAGCCAATAATTTTGTACACTGAAACAAAAATATCTTTCTAATACTAAAATACAGAATTACTTTCATTACCTTTCAGAATATTACCGAAGATAATGAGCTATTAGTATGGTATGGATTCAATATAAAACAGTGCTTTGGAATACCTTATTTTGAGGATAAAAGCAGTCCAGGAAAACAAATTGATGCATTAACAGGTAAGAAGGAAAAAAAAAGACAAAATTCTTTAAAATATTAAGCTATCTTTCATACTAATAACTGGTTATTTTACAGATAATTCCGAGATTCATCTACAACAATTAGCTGATGAAAAGAAAAAACTAAATTGTGTAGTATGCCAGAAAGGTTTTAATTCCAGGAGTAACCTGAGGTCACACATGCGTACACATACCTTACAAAAACCTTTCAAATGCAGTGTCTGCCAAAGAAGATTCAGCCAATCTTCAACGCTTCGGAACCACATACGTTTACATACAGGTCAGTTTCATTCTAATGTTTAAGTGTACGTGATAGTACCAGTAAAAGTACGGGGGACACCAGCGATTCACTATGGTTCAACTGGTAATGCCTTCTCATACAAACTAACCCTTATTTAAAAAAATGCAAGCTTTGTAAGCGTTTACAAAGAAACGTTGAGGAGATGAGCAACCGAAGCTTTCCCTATTACGATACATCGTGCAGTCCCACCCTACACCGCGCATCCTGTGTTTATTAAGAAAAAAGTTTTTTCCGATAAAGTTTTTGTCTCAATACAATGTACTGATCTTAGCGAAATCGCTGTAGCTTGCGGTATTTGTCTGACATACTGCTTGACAATGTTCTTTCGTTTGGAACCTCGACAAACAGAGTTTTCTTTCGTCAGTTAATTTAGCCATGTAAATTTTCAATTTAGAAGCATGATCTCTGAATTTCTACCCTTAAGTATCCCAGATGCCTGCAGACTCAGACATTCGCTACTTCAAAGTGCCACAGAACTCGAGGGAACTTTTGCTGTTGGAGCAACCCCTCAGCAATAAATAATACAAATGTATACAACTTGTTCCCCTGTCACAGATTACCGGGTATTAACAAAGTAATTTTATATAGAATAAGCACATCTCTCAAAATTGTTTTAAAGATTTGTAAGTCTTCAATCAAAGGTGTCTTCAAATCTCGAGCCCAGTTGGTCCGTTATCAAACATACTCTTAACGAAAGATCTAACTCTGTTTCCAGTTGGATCTCTTGACATAACTTGAGAATACTATGTCTGAACACTCAAATCGACATTAAGGGCACAAATTTCATTCCAATTTATTCATCTTCTTTGCAGTGCTCCTATCAGACGCATTATTTTTAATTGATCCATGTAATTTAGCATTACGATGTGTTAATTATTTCAAATTTTGTTGAACAGCGCTGCGAATAAGTAGTAAACCTGCTTAGAAAAAAGCTAGTGACAGGTCGAATCCGAATCCAGATCCAAACCTTAGGAGTTTCTCGGATCTCAGACCTCTGGAAAACCTCAAATAACAATTATAGAAAAAGGTTGAAAGAAGAAAAAAAATTATTCAGTATTAAAAGTTTTTAAATAGAGCAAAATTTGAAATCGGCATTTAATAGAAGTAAATCTGAGAAACCGTTCTTAAAAATATACCTAAATTTATAAAAACATGCAGATGAAATTTGATAAATGAAACAAATAGTAAAATTCTTGAATCTTGTAGTCATATTCTCAATATGATTTTATGAGCAACTCATGTCATGGTATAGTAACTATACCATGACATGAATTGCTAGGAACATTTAGAAAATATAAGTAATCTTATGTCCAAAATTATGGAGACGATTAGAGAATAATTTCAAGAAAGTACCTACTCCAATAGATTTCGCTCCAGGGCATACTGAAACAATGGGACGCTCATGGCTATCAAGAGGTGATAATGGTGATTCGCAGACCACTAAAATTGTAACAATTGCGTTTCTTCTTTAATGAACGTTTCCGCTGGGCGTTAATAAAAATAATCTTTCTTTAAAGTTTTAACTTAAAACAATTAATAAGTTCTAGGTTACGATTCAAAAGATTCGAATGGTGAAAAAAGCGTTAAAATTTGGGATTTGGAAGTTTACACCTTTTTAAAGATTCACGGCATCGGAGCGTTCGAATATCTAGACCTTAGAAAACATACAGATATATATATATATATACACTCCTCGTATATATATATATATGAGGAGTGTTTTTTTAATAAGGATCGTTTGAAAATGAAAACCAAACGAAAGAAAATTCTCAAAAACCAAATTTATTTTCAGATTCTACATACGTTTCTATATTTTTCAACATAGTTGCCAAGCTTATTTAAACACTTATCATACCTTAGAACTAGATTTCGAATCCTTTCTTCATAGAAACTTGCCGCCTGTTCCGATAACGAAGGCCGATTCATGGCCATTTTCACGTCCTAGACTAGACAATTCAGGAAATTCGTTTGAAAGAGTGCGTATGGTGAAGCATCTGTTCTCAAGAATTTTTAGTCATCTGAAGCCACCATATCGTCTCTGATCACAGATGGGCGACCAAAGCGGGACTCATCATGGACTCATCAGCTTTGAAGTCTCTGACCCACTTACGCACTTTGCCTTCACTCATGGCAGTAGCTCCATAAACTTCACAAATCTCCTAGTGAATGTCTGCAGTAGACAAATTTCTCGTCGACAAAAAAACGTGGATGGCGATTCGATATTCTTGAACATATTAAGACACAGAACAAACAAGTTACCTACACAGCTGCAACTGAGCACAGTTGTTTCCAAGGGTTGACGGAATACGCGCCCCACAATTTCTATACGCAAAGTTCACCTATTAAACAATAGAGCAGGAAGACCAAGTGACAAACGTGGTTTATTCAAGCAACAACAGACTAGACTGTCACGTTTGTACGAGGTAGTCGACCGTTTCACAGGCCTTTACCAAGCTATTTTTGTTCTCATGTAGGGCTTGAACATGTGATAAATAGAATCTCCTGAGTAATCAGGAGGAAGAGCACTGAATAGTGCTTCATTTATTGAGTTTTAGTGCCGTACTAAGCAGAACTGCTTGACATATGTGTTGCCATCTGTTGTCCTTTTGAGATTATTCAGTATTCCATCTGTTTTAGCAAAAGTTCTTTAAGCAATTTTGGAGGCATATCTTTTCTATGATAAGCAATTTTTCTGTACAATTTCTGGAGTAAATTTAGTCTTGGATAAATACGTGATCAATTTTTTGGCAATATATACATATGATGCAATGAATTTTTCTATAAATACAGTACATTGGTAGTTTTGCAGATAATGCGATACATAATAAGTTATGTAAAAAGATTTTTTAAAAACATACAATTTTCCTATGTAATGCACAATTTTTCTTTGAATAATAATAAGAATAATTTCTTGGATAGATGCAATTAAATAGATAAATTTAGTACTATTTACAAGTCCTTTGCAGATTTAACGTTAGGCTGAGGATGGAACCATCAATGCTTGCTTCGTGCAAGAAAAACTTTGTCTAATACCGCTCGGCTATCAAACTCTTGCAATTTTCATATTTTTCACCAACTAGTGTTCTAGGTCTTGTGGATGTTTGGTACACAGGGAATGTTTGGTACACCGTTCTGACTCCAATAAGATTAATATTTATTTACATTTTCTGGAAACAGAATTACACAGACAGAAAATCAGTCATTGTTCTTTTTCTTAAGAACAATGAAGGCTTAGTGTCGCCACTCTGAGAAACAGAAAATTGCATGCGAAGAGTTTCACAAATGGCGCTTCCCATTAACTCAAATGATGTCGCCACACACCCCGTTCCCAGTGATAGCGTTATACCAGGTAATCTTTCGGATATGCAAGAAATATCACCTTTCTTCCAGCTTTTGTGTTGCTAGGATGAATAACTTTGGAATAATCTTTATCTCCAGAAAGCGGAGGAGAGATTTTGGAGTTATCAGCTTTATGCGTCTGGAGATTTGTTGTGATATTGAAACATGGTTTTCAGTCTATCTATCGGTATCCTTTTAATTTTACTTGAAATTTCCACATCGAAAAATTTCTGAAAAGGTTTTTTAACTAAATATGGTCCGAGACAGGGTGAAGAGAAGATGAAATTATGTCATTATAGATGAATACATGTAAACAGTTTGCTAAATTCCTTGGGCACGATTTTTTTTTTTTTTTTTTTTTTTTCCATGGCTACTTGTTGGAGTTGGTTTTAGGTCTTGGATGTGACTTTGCAATTTCTGTATAAAATCTGAGAACGTAACAGTGGGGACATAACTGAAAAATTCTCCAAGCAAACAGTGGTGAACCGTACACAAGTTCAGCAGAAGAACAATGCAAATCGTCTTTAATGGCAGTTCGAATGCCAAGAAGAATCAAAGGTAGACAATCACTCCAAGAATTTGACGTTTACAGATGGATTTTTAGGCTGTTTTTCAAGGTTCGATGTTGTCGTTCGATTAAACCATTAGATTGTGGATAGTAAGCCATGGTGCTGTTCGCCTTGAAGCCTAGGTATTTGCTTAAGGATCTGAAGAATTGGCTGTCAAATTTGCGACCTTGGTCAGATGTTATCTTCTCTCGGATTCCAAATCTCGAAATCCAAGTGGCAATGAGGGCATGGGCGACGGACTCTGCGGTTTGGTTTTCAGATGTGCAGCTTCGATCCACCGAGTGAACCTAAAACCTTTGCAAGATGGTAAAGGGCCAACAATATCGATATTAAGGTGCTTGAGACGTTGATTGAGAACTTTGAATTCAGCAGCTGAAGCGTGGTTGTTATGTTTGTGAATTTTTGGCCTGTTGGCATTGCAAGTATGCTCTACACCACAGCTGATAGTCTTTGTTTATTGCCAAGCCAAATGAATCTTTTGGTTACCAGCTTCGTTGTTGCACATCATGTTCTTTAATTTTATTGTTTTTTATGTTGGGTTTAAGTAAGTTAGGAAATTTGTTTAGGATGGCTCTATATGGGTTTTGAAAAATATTAGCAATGAATTTAGGAGTGACGTTATTGCTACACAAAGTACCTTTTGCTGTTAATGAGGTAGTTCCGTCGATTAATATTCTGTTTTTACTATCGACTAACAAATTAAAATGTAAAAGAAAGTCTATTCCCACGATAGCTTTATTAACATCCGCAATAATAAAAGGCCAGTTGAAAGATCTGCGTAGCCCTAAATCTAGTTCTAATAATTTTTGACCACGTGTTTTAATTGTTGTATCGTTAGCTGCGAATAACTCAAGCTTAGCCACATTTCTTTTTTCCGATGGTGATGATGAAATAACTGATATTTCTGCTCCAGTGTCAATTAACAAATTGGTTGCTGATGCGTTGTCACGAATATATCGACGACTCATCTGTACCCCTTGACTTTCTGTCGTCATCGAAGGGCGGGGATTCAGTTTTCCTCTTTTGAGACCTGATATTTGCATGGTGGGGTGCACTTGTACGCTCTCTCAC